TCTTTACAGAAGTGGCAGAAAGAGAAGTTATGAGGAATCCTGAAGAACCTTAAGCACACAAACAAGGAACCTCTGTTTCTCTGGATCCTGAGACTTCATACTGAAAACCCCAGCCTTCTTCCCTCATCTTTGCCAAGAGCAGCTTTTCCAAAGGAAATACTTGCAGTCCATCCTCTGTGATGTCTCTACCCCATCCCTGGGAAGGATAAAATCATAAGGAGGAGCCAGAAAGCTCTCAGCAATACTCAGAGCAGGATTTATGCCAGGGAGAGGGAAGTATCCCCTTCTAAACATCTGACAAATCTTGAGGGAAGTGTTTTGCACACCAGCCTTCATTCTTTCCTAGCACTGGCCTTCTAATCTGTGAACACCATGGGTACAGGATGCCTACAAGACTCTGAAAAACTCAGAGAAAAAAGGGAAAACTAGTAATTAACCCAGTCTCCTGAATGATGTAGAGATCCTAGAGGGAGACCCAGACTCATCTTCATAAATCCTGCAGAAAAGAGTGTACCTGAAGCTGCTTCCTTTAAATGCCACCAGAACACACACCCCCTCTTCTGAGAATTCCAACACTGCTTTTTAGAATCTTAACTTCTTTAATGAAATAAAAGGTCATCTTACTGACCTTCATTGTTTGTATTTGTACTTATAGCTTACTCAGTATGCAAATCAAACACGCTAACTGCATGTCCTGTGCTGCCCATGTTCTAAAGTGGAGTAATACACTTCAGCAAGAAGCCCTATGTGCTACGCTGTCTGCTGAACTCAGTCTTAAGTAATGATTTACCATAACAAATATAAATTATACTCTGTTATAAATAAAAGCTTCTGGATACCTTCTGCAACAGAAGATGCCCAGAGTTTTTAAAGAGTAAACAGCCTCTCTTGAGAACAGCAGAATCGGGAAACGCTCCTTTTGACATGTAATCACGAGACAGTTTCTTTCCCTTATTTGTTAACGATAAAAAAAACCCCACCACTTTGCAAGAATGGATTACTACAGTAAAAAGAGATTGACAAAATAATTAATTTCTACCTGTCTTGTATTTTAGCAACTAGACACAAAACATACTAGCAGCATGTAACCAACCAGTTCTTCACAGATTGCCAGCAAAATCTACATGTTGTACAAAACACTCTGATTTATGTAGCCTGTTCTTTAGGATTCTTCCTGAACGTAACAGATGTAAAAGAAATAAGAAAAAATACACAGAGCTGAACAATGGGATAACAGGTCTGTGATTAATTAGGCAACTTAAAAGTGCATCCATGGGAGGAGAGCATTAAGTCATCCTAAATGACTATCTAAATAGTCAATTATTTTTAGTATTATGCATTCTATTTACATCACTTCACAGATATGATTTAAGGCATTTTATTCAGCTTTAGTTATTCTCCATTTTGTGTTGAAATGAATGAGACACTTCAGAAATATTTTATAAATATTTCTACAGGTACTTGAAACTACAATTTTAATGCAGGACTTCTTCCTTACAACTTGCCTCAGAGATGATACTACACTATATCAGTTGGTACCCAAATAATAAAACATCTTCCAGTTGTGAGGCTCAATGTCAGATACAATACACATTCAAACACAAACTGTTCCCCAGGTAGTAAAAAGCTGTAGATAATTTTAACAAGTGACTCATTCAAGCATCTATCCTTAATTTGGTGTGAAACTCACCTCTGAAATCCAATCAACAGATTTTGCATTCACTATAGTTGTGACAGAGGTCAGTGGCCTTAAAATGTTTTCACCTCTCAGAAGTTGTGAAGTTTTAAGCAAAAATGTCTGTTTAAGCAAAATCTTTACATCATAATAACTAACCCAAATCTGCTACTCTCTAAAACACACACACACAAAGTCGTCAGTAATGTGAAGAGCTTGAACTGCCTACCAGCAAGTAATTCACACCCTTGAGGCAGAAGAACAGTAGTTCTAAAAAAAATTCAGACCTAGACATGCTTTCCCTCCCCTAAAAAAAAAAAAAACCAAAAGGAAAAGAAAAAGCCCTGTCCTTCATCTAGGAAGACTCATAGTCCTGGATTTGGCCATGTGAGATGTCAGAGGACTAACTTCATAGAAGGAGATGAATTATGAAGTATAGATGGAAAGGAAGATCAGACCCTTGAATACCCAAGATACATCATCATAAGTAAATCAAACACTGACGTAGTATTTTCACTTTAGCCATCAACTATTTTTTTATAAATTACACTTTCCTTGAAAATTTAGTAGTGATTGAAATGAAAAAATCATGCTTGTTAAGATTAAAATATGAGATACCCTAGGCTTAACAGCTAGTAGCAGAATAAACAATTTTGCAGGTTTAGATTTTTCTTTCCTGTGTTGCTGGACATTACTTTACATTTTATATGGAACATTTAGCTTGTCTTAATTCTAGGCTAACTACACCACTAGTCTTAGTATAACATAGACCACTTGAAAATACAAAACAAAGCCTCACTTCAGTAACACAACTGCATCGCTTGTTCCATTAACATAGTAGGAACTGCAGAAAGACTACAAAATTAGTAACAGATTGAGCACTATATTCCTGATTTTTGTTTTAAATCAACATATTAATGCTTGAACAATTAATGCGGAAGCAGTATCCTGTTTCCATAGAGAATGCAATTTTGAACATCTTTCGGTATAGGATTAGATCAACTTTAACTGCTTTTAAAGACTACCCTCCATTTCTTAGGCTTATGTATGCTACAAAACACTTATGTAACACACAAACACTCATCTCAGCCAACGTTTTTCCCCATTATGTACCATAAAATACAGTTGTGCTTTTTTACACAGTCTCAAAAAATAAATAATAAAACATGGCAAAAGCATTACACTTGATATATATACAAAGTCATACAGTACCATGGAATGGCCTTTGTGAGATGAAAGAGTTAACTGCTGCTATTAACTACACCCAAGCAACTTTCATCAAAGTGAATACTGCAGCAACATCTATAAACACGATGACCACGTTAGCAGAACACCAGCTATGAAAGCACTGCCAACACTGCTTGTACAGTGGTGTGGGCTTCTTTATTTTAATCACAGTATGAAAATTTTACCAAGTACTGCTGTTTGGGGTGTTTGCAGAGCCCTGCAAAAAAATCTGTAAGACTAGGCACCTATAAAGAATGCAAAATGCAGCAGTAACCATGACGATAAAAGAAATGCTTTTCCTGATCTTTCTCTTTCCAGTGACAATACTTCCAAATACTGGGGGTTTTCCACTGTATTACATGTTTTGTTTGTTGCTCCCTGTTAAGCCAGGCCTCCAATCCTTGTAAACCTGAAACTTCTGACAAAGTGAACAGCAATTTGGGGTGCACTAGTAACACAGAATGAGCCCTAACCAGTCCACCTGGTTAGGTGACTGTGGTAGAACGGGCACCACTTGTTGGCAACTATGTCTTACTTCATTCTTGCACAGAATAGGTAGAAAGAAACAATTACATTTTAAAGATAATTACTTGGCAAATAAATGAGGAATCTAAAAAAAAATAAAAATAAACCAAGAGAAAGGCAGAGTGTATATAAGGTATTTCTACAGAGATCATAAAACTACTGAGGTAGGTTAGAATTTGGCCCTCAGCAGGCTGACCATAAACTTGAAGAAAAGTCCCCTGCATTGATTTTGTCTTGGTTTTGTATTAAGTTGGGGCATTTAAGGTATAAAGAAATAAACTAAAGATTCTTCAGAAATTCACCTTGGTTCTCTAATATGTCTCTAACACTTGCTCACCAAACTAGGGTAACGCTTTCAAAAGATGTATGCAATTTGGATCTGAAGTCCCATTTTGAAAAGTGAATAAAGGGCTGATTTTCAAAGGCATTATGGTACCTAAAGATGCATTAAGCACTTAGAATTTTTAACATTGCCTGGGCATCTAACACCTATTTAAATCACTTAGTCCTTTTGAAAATCCCAATGGGCAGTTATCTACATTTTATGTGTCCATATGCCTTTGAAAACCTGTACCGTTAAATACTTAACAACCCTAATCCCCCTGGTTTTTAATGAGACTTAGGGTCCTAAAAAGTGTAAGTACTTCTGAAAATTGGTCAAGTCACTCTCTCTGGTCTTCTTTCTTTTAAAGAGCCATCAACTAATGGTTATCCATAGCACGTCAGTTAACTACAGCTTCAGCACTGTCAGATTTACACACTATACTGTGCACATTCATTTTTTTTATGCAATTAAACAAATTTAAACAAATAAAGATCCTGATTATTAAAACTTTCTGAAACTAAAAAAAAATAAAATTAATTCCAACCTTTAACCCCTATGAGTTCCCCAAAATCATTGTTTCTATAAGTATGTTTCAATAAATATGTATATTTATTGACCAAGTACAATTTAGGCTGACAATAAACAAAAAGAATAGTTTAATTACAGAGCAACAAAACAAAATTACTACAAACAAGTTCTGAAAGACAGCCACACAGCAACAAAAAATGTTCAGAGAAAAACTAGAAAAAGAAGGAAGTCACAAACAGGCTCTTTAAACAGGCAGCAGTTCCAGAAAAGAAGACAGGCTTTAATTCTTAAATTTCTTTTTTTAAACAAAACTCTATGAAACTATAAAGTGTTCCCTTATGCAAACATTTGAAAGATTTATCTTCTGATATTCTTTAATGTCAATGGGATGTAACTTGCACTGACCACACTCCCGAAAAGGAACTGATTTGTAAATTAGGAACGCAGGGAATCAGATTGCCACCTACAGGAAAATTTAGCATCTATTGTCAAGAACGACTCAAAAAAATCCAAACTGCCATCCTGCCAAGCACTCTTTCGGTTTCAGTTATTATTTCAGAACCAATTAGTTTTCTTCTCTGCACAACTACATCATGAACTTCCTAAATCCAGAAAGCCATTAACATTTCTTTTAAGAGTATTGCTTAAAAGTTCTGTAATTCAGCTACAAAGCAGCAGACTGTAATCATGTTTCAATCAAAGAATTTTAAACCTCCTTACCTGATACAGTTGGTGCTAGCCTGAATATGTCTGACAGTCTGCTGTTAACAGGCTCATAAGGGGAATCTTCAAGCAAGTCGTTTCCTAGAGACACAAAATATTTATTTGGTTGGGTTTTTTCTTATAAGAGAATTCAGGATAAGAGTTTGTCGATTACTTTTACTCTGATTACTCTGCAACAACAAAAGGTACTCCCCTTTAATCTGTTTATGTGGCTATTTCTCCTGAAAGCATTATCTATAAAAACACCTGAAAGAAGCTAGTCGTTTATCCCTGTCACTAGTCCTTTTCTCTCCTTCCTCCATGGATAAGGATATAATTTGCCAAGACAGCCTGTGACATCACAGGGACTTTCCCATCTCATGCCAGCAGGAGAGAAGCAGTAGCAAGTATGTTCCTCTTCGCTCAGCCTAGGAGCAATGCTCTTTTTTAGAGGAGCAGCTTGGCTAACAGCTAAAAACTAGCATCTTTGGAATAACACACCCCTAACAAGATGCTGTGAGAAAGGAAGCTTTTTATGATGCAGAAAATGTCCAAGGGTGGTGTAATTTATTACTAAAATTAGAACAAAAAATATATATTGAGTAATTAAAATGTTCCATGGTTAAACAAAAGGATGACTTTTTGCAGAAGCAGCTACAGAAAAGAGTTAAATGGGGATCCCATTGAAGTGCAAGATTGCATCTTTAACTCCGGGGCCAGGGTAAGATAGGGCTGAAAATGATACATCTCATGTAAGGGCCTGCCTGTTCTCACTAGACAATGGGAAATTTGCCAGTGACACCAAGAACAGAAGTCCTGAGTCAATCACTGTCATATCCCTTCTAACTGGCAGTTCTACATGCTCTAGGAAGCACAAACTTCCCTCTGCCTCAGCATGCTCAGGGAGTATTGCTAGTAAATACTGGAAAGAAAAGAATAAACTTTTCTTTAAAACAATGCTCCTCTTCATATTACATTTAACTTTCAGCAAAGAGCTAAAAAATTAGTTCCAGCATCCTGTGATCTTGTTAAGTAAGTCCTAATTAAGGAGTTTAAATATTATTAGGAAAACATCTCCAAATCATTGTTTTTGTAGCTCTTGCACTTGCTAGTGCCCTCATCTTTTGACTCTGGTTTAGAAAGGTCAGCTGGGTCCCCTGGAGGAAACCCTCATTGAGGATTTCCCAAGAATAGGAGATGGAGGAGCAGCTGTTCTTGAATCGGATGAAAGGTCCTCAGTTTGCAGCTGAAGAGCACAATGTGAATTACGGGGTCAGACCCTCGGTTTAGCCTCAGTGGCGGTAGCTAGCTGCGGATGTGAGGGGCTGCAAAAATCACACACACTGCATTAGGGGAGCGTAACGTTTTTGTGTTTTGAAACGTACCCTGTAAGCTCTGGTACATGCTCCAGTAAATGCGCAGGCAGTTTTTCTCCTTCTTCATGCCCCTCTTACAGCGACAGTTGTACAGAGATTTCTGCTTGAGAGCTTCCATGGCGCTTTTGCATTCGTCCTTTGCCTCCAGGCCTGTCGCCCGGCTGAAGTTGCTCTCTTTGCCGGCTACACACTGCCTCAGTGTCCTGTATTTAGTACTACAGCTCTGCTCCTTGAGACACTGATCGCTGGCTTTCACACAGTCGAGACGGTCCCCTCCAGGCAGCCCGCTCACTTCTGCAGACAAAAGTACGTCTAGAGAGAGGAGACACAAACCAACAAACTCTCGTTGATAGGGACGAGGCTGCTTTAAGGAGGGCTCTGAAGCAGCAGCTGGGAAGCACCAGGCACCTCCTCGCACCGCACTCGCAGCCAGCCCCGCGGGCAGCACCTTGCAAACCTCCGGGCTTTACACTACACCTTAGGAAAAAGCACCTGGTGTTTTCCATGGTCTTAGATCCACTTTCATGGGAGTCCAAGGAAACAGTATGTTCTACCCCCAATGGTTGATTTACAAGAAAACACCAAAAGGGAAGAAAACCCACAGGGGTTAATGTGCCTGGCAAAGCAAGCATTCAATTCCTTACATCCACTTGGGTGAAACAAATAACCTTTCCATCCAAGTTCTTAACCGAGGGGTTAAATATTTGGCCTCACTTTCCACAAGAGCTTTGCTGTAATTTCAATTACATCCACAAACAACCCGTTCAGAGAGATAAGTATCCTCACTGATTGATATTAGCCTTTTTTTTTTTTTGCATCAGTCACTTTGTAAAGGCTGTACGCAATTTTTGCTTATTCTACATGTATAAGGACAGAATTTACGACTCCCTCCCCTCCATTTGTCTCCACGTATGATGCTTTTGCAGAAGAACAAAGCAAATTACATTAACTCTCTCCTCTCCATCGTGCCCCCCACCGTCATGGTCCCTCAGACACACGCCGATGGGAACGCAAAAACGTCCTATGGAAAGAAAAGCAGTTTGGGCTGCAAAGCACTCACAGTCGGGCAGGCTGCCAGGTTCAGGTGAAGATGTAATCCTTCAGCTGGCTCTTGTCACCCCCTCACCCTGCCCAAGCAGCCTTATTTTATTAAAATGAAAAGTTTCCCTCTAACTTACGAGAACTCAATTTAACAAGAGGCTACACAGGCAGGCATCAAAGTCTGTAATCTCCCAGAGCTTTAAATCTAGACTGGGCTAACTGATGTGAGGCAGAGCCATAAAAACTAGTGGTAACTTCACTGGTCTGCCTAAACAATAGACTGACAACTGTCAGGCATCCGATTCCATAAACTCTATGCTTTGCTTTATGAAGCGACATACAGACAGAAATCAGATGCCAGCAACTTACCCACTAAGGGCAAAGCGAAGTACAAGATAACGAGAAACATCTTGCTGTCTTCGGATGGTTTCCCCAAACGAGCTGATGTGTCACAACAAATAGGATCAGCATGTAGATATTCCAAAACTGTCGAGGTCCAAAGACTCCAAATTCACATCCATTGAATGCAAGAGGAAAAAAAAAAAAAATAGAAAGCAAAAAAACCCAAACCCCTCTCTCCTCTTCACCGCTTCCACCACCAGCGGCAGGGAGCAGCGACGCGAACGCTGAGCTTTTTCTCTCAGATTGCAGGTCTGAGCAACGTGAAAACACAAGCAGTGACTTCAGTGAGGGAGCGAGAGGCGCTCGCACGGGTATATGTGTGCGCGAGT